CCAACTAGGTTGATAAACATAGAAGTCTTACTTTTTGTGTTATTGAGAATTGAAGATGGTATTGTTATAATTGTAAAAGAAAAAATTAAGAGTTTCAGTTTCAGTTTCAGAAAAAGTTGTTACTCTTTAACAAATGATGACCGTTAACGTTAACTTTGAAATTTATATAAAAACCGTTTGAACCGAATGAATTAAAAAAAACAGTTCGTTAGAATTGTTAATTTCTCGAACGATTAGTTCCTTTAAACGGAAACTTTGTCTGTTGATTTAATGAAAATATTATTTTTTCAACGTTAACGCCCAGCCCTAGTTAGCTGCTTAGCATTGTGTCCGTATTTCCTCAATCTTTGTGCATATCTAAAAATAGTTCCCGACATTTTCCGGTCTGAAAATATAGTTCAGGGAGATACACTGTTAGACACATAACACTATGGAATAGGAAGACGAGCTATGGACTAACGATGTATGATGTCCAGTCCTAGAAGTCCATATAAAAATAAAGTACAGCGTTTGTAAATTGTACAGTGTACAATTTACATGGACCAATTTCACTTAAATTAAATTGATTGTCACGCTGCTGGTGAAACTACATGCTTAACGATTATTAAATGAAGCAACTTAACCGGCTGTTAACCTCTAATTAATTAACTTGAGGCCGAATTTAAAGAATTTGAGCGGCGGCTTAAATTTAAACCGCAGCTCAAATATTGTTGGTTTCACTTAAAATTGTATTTAATGTTTCAAAATTTAAGCCGGCGCTCAATTGAAACCGGTTTTTGCGGATTTAAGACGCGGCTCAATTTCATTAAATTCGGGCACTGCTGTTAACTTGATGTTAATCAATTTAAAGAATTTGAGCCGCGGCTTAAATTTAAGCCGAGGCTCAAACATGGTTAGTTTTACTTAAAATTGTATTCAATTTTTAAGATTTAAGCCGGCGCTCAATTAAAACCGGTTTTTGGAGGATTTGAGACGCGGATTAAATTCATTAAATTCGGACACCATGGTCTCATATGTTGATAATCAAAATTCTTAAACAGATTAACCAGCATGTTAACCTCTTGTTAATCAACCTAGTGTTAATCTTTTGTTCATCTTAACATTTTGTTATGGTTAACTGGTTGTTAACATGTTGTTAATTACCTGGTGTTCCCTGTTAAGCTGATGTTAATTAACCTATAGTGTTATAATGATGATGATGATAACTTGTGTTCCCTGTTTTTAATTAACCTAGGGTCAAATAGATTCAGCTTATAAACACCTATTTTTAAAACAGGGTCGAATATGAAGTGTCGCAACACCTTGGGCTTTGATTTTATCCGCTCTATTACTCACTTATGCTTTTCTTTAACCGTTTACATGTACATTTTAGTACTATAAAGCACTTGTTGTTAGCTTTAATTTTAAAGAAGTAATTGGCAATATTCTCATCGACTGTTGCTTGAAAGCTTGAGACCTTTCGCCGGTCTAAATTTGATTCAATTCTTTTCTCAATCTTTTACTTTGAATCTGTGGTTCAAATTTAAACCGGCAGCAGTAAATTCAGCGACGTGGCTTAAATTAATTAAATTCGGTCCCTGGTGATCTGTGAACATGAAAATATGAAATGCTTGGAGCAAAATTATTGTCTTTGTTGCACCTTTAGACCATACATTATACACGCTTCATAAACTAGGATAATCGGTGTAACGGAAACATTTAAATCTTTATTAATACATATATATATAAAGTATTAATCTTCTGTTTGTTTGTTTCTTTGGATGTCCGATCATAACTCAGGAACCCATTGACCGATTTGCCTCAAATTTTGATTGGGGGAACTCTTGAAAATAAAATAAAATATAGGGTGGGATTCTGCAGTAAGGCTGGTACAGGGTGTCCCACGAAACATGACAGTTTGTGAATAGTTTTGAATGTCTTCTTCCATATACTGTATTATATATTATAGACTTTTTGCAGTTTATTTAATTTATAAAATCTTTTACTCATATATATATTTTACTTTAAAATCAATTTTACTATAAAATGGCTGTCATGAAAAATTTTATATTATTCTCTTGGGGTTCAAACAACTTAACAAACTATGGAAGAAGACATTTTAAACTTTTTACCAACTGGGCATGTTTCGTGACTCTTGCAGTATTGTCTAGCTTGTATATTTTACTCAAAAAATGACAAATCGTAACAGAAAAATTATGATTTTTGATAATATTTCATAGTTTTACACTCAAGATAATCTTTTCAATATTAATTTCCCATGATATCCAACCATTTAGAATCCAATTACATGTAGAATCTGACCTTGTAGTTTATTTGTTCAACTAGGCTTTTAGGGCGCCCATCTTGTATTTGAATTGTGAACATGTTCTCTTTGTTTACATTTTAAAACAAAGAAGAAAAAAATTTTGCGGATGTAAAAAAAAAAATTCGCGGATTTTCAAGAATTTAATTTTTTTTATTTTTATCATTCATAAACCTTCCCTGTGGTCACGTGATGTCCCACAACAATTTGGGCCCGATCGGTTCAGCCGTTTTGACGTTTATTGGATGCAAACAAACAGACAAGCCAAATTTATATATAGATGTAGACCTTTAAATGGTGTTTTTAAGAGCAGTTGTTAGAAAAATGGGAATACAGAATAATTATATGAGAATTTATTTAGTAATACATAGGCAAAACTAAGATACTCAATTATTTTTTTAGGCTGTACACCAAATATTTCGTTCTCTTCGTAAATAATTAGCCCGGTAGAACCATGAAATGTTAGATTTTTTGTACAATCGAATTTATCTTATTACCCTATATTTGACTACTGTATATATTCATTTCATTTTTAATTAACATAAATATATTTGTTTCAAATTAAAAGTGGAAAACATAGCACTGTAAAAGTAGAAAAATACTAAAAAATAATAATTGTCTGGTCATGATCACGTAGAAATTCCATGCGTAAAAAATGTATTTTCTTCATCTAAGATAGGTCAATGAAGAAAACTGTTGTTAATAGTCGGTCACTATAATCCCTTTTAACATAGATTCTGGATTTAATAATCTGAGTGGTTTGTTTCTCTCTGTGTACAGCTTTGTTTATTTGTATCACAAGGGTTATTTATTCTTTAGTTAACAAATGTTAATAATTATGCACAATTTTACGTTACACTAACCAATATTGGAAACTGTATTAAAGTTTGTCTAATTTCGTGTTTTAACATTGTGTTTTGTACAAAGAGAATAGAATATATGTTAGAGGGGAATTTACTAGGAAAAAGTGTAAAACGGCCATCTTGTTGTACTGTTTCCATACTGCAGGTGTACTTCACATATTTATGCTATATAACCTTTTGGGCCCTGGAATATCATTTTAAAGAAAATCTAAAATTAATGTTAAAAGAAAAGTTTATTTAACAGCTTTAATAAATTCGAAATTGAAATGAATAGTCTAAGGAACATACTGTATTAATGTACTCTACTGCATATACTTTGTGAACATTTACACGATTTGTACACTTTGAACTCCCTTTCAGGCTGAAAGGGACATAAAAAATTCATACTGAGAGATTCTTTAAATTCCCCTCTAATATATTTTATTCTCTATGGTTTTGTAATTTAACGTAAGTGCTTGAATCACAGACTACACAGACTGCTCATACACTTTACCTGGATAGGCTGAGCAGGCCTATAGTGTCCCGGCATGCCATGCTACGGTTCTATGTAATGTTTTTTGACTGACATCTTACGGCCACTTGTTGCATTCAGGGGTTAAGTTTTACAACTTTTAAAGAAATACTCCAATTTTCAACATAAAACATAACGTTTATGAATATTGTCTATTTTTAAAGATTTTGCATTTCCTATTCAAAGGATCCTTAAATACCCCTGAATACAGATGTCTCCTGATTGGTCGTGTACAGTACTTGTACACAATAGAACTTGATGTGAAAATATCGCATATTACAAGTGTTAATCGATCTCTGTAACTCTCTTATCTCTGGCTTGAAAAAAGTTTGTAAATAAATGGAGTCCAGTTAATTTAGTACTGTACACACAGTACAAACAGATTATAAGGGCCCCACTATATTATTCTAAATTACTAGGGACATAAAATTTCGTCATCTAACTACAAGTTTGGCCCACTTTAGTATTTACTTACTTTGATTTCAAATATGCACAAATTTAGCAAGATTTTAAATATCATCTGATGTGTAATTAAGAAAAACAAAAAATGTGCAAATATCTTCCGACGGGTTGTGTGCAAATAAATTGTGAAAATTTCTTTGCAAAACATGTGCAATCCGTTTTCTTATGTTAAAGGCAAACATTATCAAAATCTGACAGCTGAAAGTTGGTCAAAACAATGTTTTAGTTTGTTACAGGAAAGCGTAGTCATTCATGCAGTGTGCCTGAGGACTGAGGCACACTTTTAGAGTTATATAAAAAACAAATCCCCCCCCCCCAAGCAGGAATAGGGTTAATTTATTTTTGCGAAAAACATCGAAATTTTGCAAAATACGAACGGAAATTTTCGCAATTTTTCGCGAAAGTTGCAAATATATTTTTTTATATATTTATATATAAAATAAAATAACTTTTTATTCCAATTTGTTATAGGTGTTTATTCGACAGAAGTTCATATCATACTGCATGGAATTGGAGTAGAGCTAGGCCATATATAACTTCGTATCTGCACAGTGTAAAACTGTGCAGATCTGAAGCCCATAATAAGACTCATTTCTAATATAATTCCAGTTTACATTACATTACATTTATTACGAATTTCTTTCTCTGCAATTCTGCAATATCCCCTGTTTGTGGGGATTTCAGGTTCGTGTTGAAGTTTATGACCGAGGAGGGGACCAGGATGGCAGGGGAGCGGGGCAATGAAGAATGACAAGGTTTGGTTCATCAGTATTTTTTAGAAAGCTGTTAGCACGCAGGCATGCGTAGCTAACATTACAAAAATTTACAAAAATTTGCAATGTTAATTTCAGATATTAGCAGGATAGCAAGCATGAGTGCACGACTATCAACAGCTTAATTAATTATTGTTTCTTTACACAAACAGCATAGTATGCACATTTTACATATTATATTTTGCTGGAAATTCTCGTGTGTACCTGAACGTGCAGAAACAACAATGACTTGCAATGCATGCTTAAACACTATATATATACAGGTAGCGGATATTTTCTTTTAATTTCTTCATTTGAATACTCGAATCAGAACCATTTTATTTAGAATATACAGTGAACACGAGAATAAAGTGAAGAATAAAAATTTTTCTGATTGCTATATCTTTGTAGTCTGAGCTGAAAACTTTAGAATTTGATATCCTTAATCCCCATCTGTTAATTAATCTGGAGATTAAATTTATGAGGAGAACAAGCGATATTTAATCTGGAGATTAAGAAAAAGAGTGGATCAAGCCTTAATCCCGATATCCACCATTCAAAAGTTCCCAGCTCTGATGGTGTAAATCTTTGTTATTTCAAACTTAGATTGATTGATCTAATAGCATTCATAGTTTGAAATTTCAAAGGTCTACAACTTGGGAAATTGGGCTAGAAAGATATAGGAATTAGAAAATCAGAGTTGTGGCAAAGACTCCACGTGGATTTAACAGTTCTATCAATATTTCAGAAAGCTGTGACTTTTAATCACAATATGACCCATTATACATAATATTTTATCCTTTTTTTCTTTAATACTTTTTTGTCGGCATATATATCTTAAATGAAAAAGTATAAAATAAACAAATCTGAAGTTTAAAGATTGTTGAATTATAGACCAAAACACGTTTGAGAAACTACTGAATGGCATTTAGTTTTTAAATGGATTTTTTTTGTTAGATTTTCAAACTTATATGTGAGTTCCTAACGTGACAGGTTCTTAATTTAATTTAATGATTGCCAGCAACGAAGCATAATGGTAACACCCGTTTCTTTAACAAAAACATGCTTTATCTGAAAAATTAGCGTGTACTTGATCCTTAAAAAGGTGCCGTAACTTGATGCCATTTTTTAATATAAGATCTTGTACATTATGCAATATATTAATTGCAGGGGCGGATTAGATAATATAGTTTATGGAAGGAACGGCCTCTGCACAGTATATGTAAAGAATTACCCATGCAGAGGATAAGACTTCAGAGACGACTGTATGGAACCTTTTTTTCAAGACATTTCACCCCAAAATTAAGCCTTCTGTTCTGATTAAATATAAAAAGTTGAAAGTCGTAATTAAAGTCTTATGTACAGGGTGACCCTGAATATATTTGTGCGTCCTTATTTTCATGAGTAACATGTTAAGTTCCTTGTTTAAATTTACTTAAATTAACCTTTTTCAGATGAACTTATTCATTTTCTCTTGTTGTCTTGTTCTTGCTTCGGCATCTATCAACTACAACCCTGACTGTGAAAATGCGATTAGGGAAATGTTTAAAAAGAAAATAAACCAAAGTCAAGCCAAAGTTAATCCATAGAATTTGTTTAAGAAGATCAAACTTTGAAGACACGTATTGTTACAGATTAAAACTTGAAGCCTTTGACTGAAATAAAGCTCTTCATGCTTTCAGTATTTCTTTCATTTTTGCGTTTTAATTCATGTTTTTTTTCTCATTCGTTAATGAAATAAAAATGCAAAAGATTCTATTTTTATAAAATATGGTATTGAAAGATTTCCTGAGATTGAAACTTTTGATTCGGATAGCGCTGAGTTGTAGAGACTGAACTCGACATACAGTCTAAACTTTTTAATTGAAGACCCTAAATTCACTTTCGGGAATAATCTTGAAATGCACAAATGTATAAAAAAATAGTTTTTGGAATTATTTTACGTCTTTTTTTAGTGTATGGCTAAAATTAGTTAGTCCCTCCGGATCAGAAACAACAGATTCAGGATTAAAAAGTTTCTCCCTCAGGTCGTCATTAAAAATTATGTTTGTAATTTAAACATTTACAGAAGTATCGGTCTACCAAGGTATTGTTAATTATCTTAAAATATGATTAATATTTATAGGCATCCCAAAATAAGTCACTCATTATAATTTTCTTCTGTATGATAGTTCAAAATTGGTTTTCTTTTTTAAAGGAAGATAATGTTTATAATTTTGGTTCTATTAATATTTTTAAACTGAGATAAAATTCTTAATATCCCGAACAATGTATTATGCAGAGCAAACTTGAAAACTATTACATTTTAGATTGAATAATAGGTTGCACACACCTCTGCCCCTTTAGTAAAAGTAAACTCAACCTTTATGAAGCATAAAGTCTGACCGAGTCAACCTTGTTGCACCGGCTAGTCTCGTCCATAGTGCTAGATCCAGTGCAAACTGGGACCTGGAAAGGTTGACCCGGCTCGGAAATTCAAATGCACTACGGCATTGATCGAAAACGATTAAAAGTCGTCTTTATACCGACAAGAGTATGAGATTCAACATGCACGGCTGCATGGATTTTTTTTGCCTGATTCCCTACAGTTCTAACATTCTTTTTTCTATACCAACTCATTAATTAAGCCATTTAACCCTATCACGATGGGAGGGGAGTGTTTCCCCCCCCCTGTGGTTTATTCTGAAAAACTTAAAAATGGTTTACATAGAACGCTAACACTTCTTCACTTTTTCAACATCATAGTTGTAAACTAAATTTGCAAAAAAAATTTTTTTGATGCATTGGGTAGTGTGGAGAATCAGAAATGGTTAATAACTTCTTTATCTATTTAGCTACAGGGCTAAATTTAAAAAGGCCTTGAAAGTGGGTAGAATAACATTTTGTTGACAGATAACAGCAAACACACCAGACAAATTTGAACAATAGGCCCGTCGGAATTCTGGTGGGGGATATTTGTTCTCCCCGGAAAATTCTTTCCCGGTAGGCCGCAAATACACACAACAGAGTAACCCCAGTTTCAAGAAAATCGATAACAAAAGCTTTATTTCCTAAAAAATAACATAAATTATAGGTCATGGTTACTTGTACAATGTTATAATAAATATTAATAATAGAAAAAATCTTACGATTTATTTAGGGATGATAAAGGGGAAACTTATTGTTGATCAGTATTGAAATACGTTTTTAAACTTCTGAAAAAATTACAGTTGAATATTTAACGAAATTCACTAATGCTTCATATGAAAATATTCTTGTTTAACTTTAATGATTTCACAATAAACGAAAGTGTTTTAAGCTCCGTGGGACGGAGAACAAAGAGAACGGGGGCTGAAATTATTTGGTTTGGTTTTCTCTGAGAGGAGATTTTAAGTTGAAGACGACATTACACGGAGGTCTTAAGTTAATGGTTAACACATGTGTTATATGTTAATATTTGTCAAAAGTGAAAATAATTATTTTTGAAAATTTTTTCGACATACATTTTGAACTTTTTAAAAATTCTTCCTTACACCCTAATCATTAAGTTAAGAGGTATATTTTTTTGAACATGAGCAGGCCTTGAAAAGTTGGTTTTTGAACATGTATCACTCTCCCCTATCTCAACTCTAAGGGCAAAATCATAAAGGGGGAGGGGGTTAGAACCCCCCCCCCATTTATATTAGAAAAAAACAGCCCAGTCGGCATAGGGTTAATTACAAAGCTCAGGACAAAGGACTTAATGCAAACTTGGGATCGTCATATTGAAAGAGTTTCGAGTAGTCTATTCAGCCTTATCCTTTGTGGGTAACCCTGTAGTTCCATTATTTTTATTTTTTTGGTGACATATTTCAAGTTAGCTAATACTAATAGCGTATATAACATATTTAATGAGGTGACTCCCATTAAACAGTGGAGAAGAAGGACGACTGTTCGACTCAAAATATGATTTTAATAGTTCGGAGACAATGAAACGTATTAGTTGTGCAGTTTAAACAAACTCCTTTGCTTTTATAAGTCGATTGTCAAGCTAGAGTAAAAACTTATTGCTTTTCAAGATTTCTGAATTGTCGTCTTCCCTTTCCTCAGTTGTATGGGTCTCACTGTAATAATAATATTTTGAATTTTAGAGTTTGGAGAAAAGAAGATGAAAGCTTTCCGTTGATATACCTAAATTCTATAGGTAAATTTAAAATTTGTTTTAAAAATGCCACACATTTAAAGTAAGTGTACTTAATGCAATTTGATTTTTTACAGTGACTGTTCAACTATGAAAAGCACACAATTATGCACACAACAATTATTGAGTCTTAATTCTCTGAAAGGTATATAAGCTTTAAAGGAATTGAGTCTTTGCCAAAAACTCCGATATTTTAATTCCAATATAATTGCAACCTAATGTCGTAGACTTCAGATATAGGATACTATGAATTCTGTTGGATCTGATCTCATTGGTTTACACCATCAGGTCGCAAAAATATATGGATTAGAAAAGGTTAAACTTAAAGAGGAAAGAGCGCCAACCCCCTCCCCCTCCCCCCCTAGTCGTTTCGGGGTTAGAGGGTGAGGGCAAAGTAGAATTTTCGAAAAATGGTTAATAACTGATTATTGAATAAAAATAAAATGTATTTTGCTGATGCATAAAGATTGGAGATGCTGTATATATTTAATAAATTTAAAAACTCGGTGATGGTGATGGACCAAACCTCTGTTGAGTAAAAAAGTAGATGTTAGTTCCACATTTATTGAAAATATATTTCGGTCTGGGTTGACCCTCGTCATGTGGTCCCAAACCTTCTCTAGAACGCTAACTTTTAGATGGTAGAGTTCATGTCCAGGAAGGTTAAAATGTTCTCCTGTAGGCTGGTTTATATGGAGATTTCTAATGTAACCAATATGTTCTCTCACTCTTTCATCTAAAGATCTTGTTGTCTGTCCTTTATATTGTAGTTTACACTTTTCACATGTAATACAATAAACTACATTTCTGGTCTTACAGTTGAAAGTTCCATTAATCTCAATCTTATTGCTGGTATTAGAGGACTGTATAACTGTTCCAGGCTCTATATAGGGACAAGTTGGGCAATTTAAACCACAAGGTTTCATACCAGGTATTAGCCTCTTTGGCCTCATTCTAGGAGGATCTGGAATTCTGGCTCGGATGAGTTTATCCCTGAGATTAGGAGCTCTCCTATAGGTAACCATAGGTGGATTTTGAAAAATCTCCTTCATCCAAGGATCCTGGACCATGGTTCTCCAATGTTTCTGTATGATGGAGGAGATACAAGGCAGCTGGGGATTAAATGAGATGGAGAATATAACTCGATGGTTTCTCCTTTTTCTCCACTTTCTTTAAAGCAACTTCTCTAGGTATAGCTTTAGCTCGGACTATAGCAATAAGACAATATTATTGATTAAAGTAACGTGTTAATTATTTTGATCTATATGATCAAAACAATCTATCAATCATCAATTATAGTCACAGAGATGAAAATCCAAACAGAGGACAAGGATTCAGGTACTATAATATAAAACTGTGGATCATTTCAGTAATATTTGCTATCAAAGGAACTGAGTTCTTGCAACAAACTTAGTTTTTTAATCACTTTATCTTTGCAACCCAATGTCGTATAGACCTTTGATATTTTAAACTATCAATTGTGCTGGATCAAACAATTTAGGTTTTCAGGTTGTAAAGATATAGGGATTAAAAAATTAAAATTTGCCAGAAAAACTTAGTTCCCTATGTCGGGAGGGTGAAAGGGCACCAGATATTAATAAATAAACAGATTAAATCTTCTAATTGTTGTTCCAGAGACTAATTATAATTTACTGAGTATACCTCTGCTGTCCTGCTTACATCAAGACTCACCACAGTTGGTTCAAATTATTAGGTAACAAACCAGACTTTTTTATTAAAAAGAAAAAGTAAAACTGTCAAAACCGCTAATAAGAAAAGACAGAAGTATTTTTAAATATCTTGTTAATCCGCGGAGTCAAGAATGACATTTAGAATTATGTTCAAGGTCCCTTTGAGGAGCAATAAAACTATTTCATTAATATGTTTAGAGAACACTCCCTTTAATAATATGTTTAGAGAACACTCCCTTTAATAATATGTTTAGAGAACACTTTCTTTAATAATATGTTTAGAGAACACTCCCTTTGGTAATATGTTAAGAAAGCACTCCCTTTAATAATATGATTAGAGAACACTCCCTTTAATAATATGATTAGAGAACACTCCTTTTAATAATATGATTAGATAACACTCCCTTTAATAACAGTTTTAGAGATCACTCCCTTTAATAATATGTTTAGAGAACACTCTCTTTAAGAATATGTTTAGAGAACACTCCCTTTAATAATATGTTCAGAGAACACTCTCTTTAATAATATGTTCAAAGAACACTCCCTTTAATAATATGTTTAGAGATCACTCCCTTTAATAATATGTTCAGAGAACACTCTCTTTAATAATATGTTTAGAGAACACTCCCTTTAATATTATGCTTAGAGAACACTCCCTTTAATAAAATGTTTAAAGAACACTCTCTTTAATAATATGTTTAGAGAACACTCCCTTTAGTAATAGGTTTAGAGAACACTCCCTTTGGTAATATGTTAAGAGAGCACTCCTTTTAATAATATGATTAGAGAACACTCCCTTTAATAATATGATTAGATAACACTCCCTTTAATAACAGTTTTAGAGATCACTCCCTTTAATAATATGTTTAGAGAACACTCTCTTTAATATGTTCAGAGAGCACTCCCTTTAATGATATGTTTAGAGAACACTCTCTTTAATAATATGATTAGATAACACTCCCTTTAATAACAGTTTTAGAGATCACTCCCTTTAATAATATGTTTAGAGAACACTCTCTTTAATAATATGTTCAGAGAGCACTCCCTTTAATGATATGTTTAGAGAACACTCTCTTTAATATTATGTTTAGAGAAAACTCTCTTAAATTATATGTTTAGAGAACACTCTCTTTAATGATATGTTTAGAGAACACTCCCTTTAATAACAGGTTCAGAGATCACTCCCTTTAATAATATGTTTAGAGAACACTCTCTTTAATAATATGTTTTGAGAACACTCCCTTTAATAATATGTTCAGAGAACACTCTCTTTAATAATATGTTTAGAGAACACTCTCTTTAATATTATGTTTAGAGAAAACTCTCTTAAATTATATGTTTAGAGAACACTCTCTTTAATGATATGTTTAGAGAACACTCCCTTTAATAACAGGTTCAGAGATCACTCCCTTTAATAATATGTTTAGAGAACACTCTCTTTAATAATATGTTTTGAGAACACTCCCTTTAATAATATGTTCAGAGAACACTCTCTTTAATAATATGTTTAGAGAATACTCCCTTTAATAATATGTTTAGAGAACACTCTCTTTAATGATATGTTTAGAGAACACTCTCTTTAATGATATGTTTAGAGAACACTCTCTTTAATGATATGTTTAGAGAACACTCTCTGTAATGATATGTTTAGAGAACACTCTCTTTAATAATATGTTTAGAGAATACTCCCTTTAATAATATGTTTAGAGAACACTCTCTTTAATAATAGGTTTAGAGAACACTCTCTGTAATGATATGTTTAGAGAATACTCCCTTTAATAATATGTTTAGAGAACACTCCCTTTAATAATATGTTTAGAGAACACTCTCTTTAATGATATGTTTTTGAGAACAATCCCTTTTGTAAAATGTTTAGATAACACTCCCTTTAATAATAGGTTTAGAGAACACTCCCTTTAATAATAGGTTTAGAGAACACTCCTTCAATAATATTTTTAGAGAACACTTCCTTTAATAATATGTTTTTGTGAACACGCCCTTTTAAAATATGTTTAGAAAACACTCCCTTTATTATTAGGTTTAGATAGCACTCCCTTCAATAATATGTTTAGAGAACACTCTCTTTAATAATATGTTTTAGAGAACACTGCCTTTGGTAATATGTTAAGAGATCACTTCCTTTAATAATAATTTTAGAAAGCACTCCTTTTAATAATATTTTTAGAGAACACTCTCTTTAATAACATGTCTACAGAACACTCCCTTCAATAATATTTTTAGAGAACACTCCCTTTAATGATATGTTTTTGTGAATACTCAATTTAATAATATGTTTGGAGAAAACTCCCTTTAATAATAGGATTAGATAGCACTCCCTTCAATAATATTTTTAAAGAGAACACTCCCTTTAATGATATGTTTTTAGAGAACACTCCCTTTAATAATATCTTAAGAAAACACTCCCTTTAATAATATGCTTCGAGAACACTCCCTTCAATGATATTTTAAGAGAATACTCCCTTTAATAATTTGTTTAGAGAACACTCTCTTTAATACTTTGTTTAGATATTATTCCCTTTAATAATTTGTTTAGAGAAGACTCCCTTTAATAATATGTTTAGAGAACACTCCCTTTAATAATATGTTTAGAGAACACTCCCATTAATAATATTTTTAGAGAACAATTTCTTCACAAAAATGAGGAGAATAAACCCTATAATCTTTCTGACACAGTTGAACAAGTTTTAAAGTAAGTTTATTCATTTATTTAAATATAATCTTCTGAGAACAAAAATAAAATGAAGAGTCCGATTTACAACGGTACCCTAAACAGTTTTGACTGACTGACTGAAATTTTTTTTTGAAGTCAGATATATTCTATTTAGTAACTTGTGGACTTTTGCTTCAGAAACATTGAAGGAAGTTGTTAAAGTGAAACCATTTTCAAGGTCAGAAAACTACGACAACTATAAAATACAGATAAGATAAATGTTTAAAGGGCACCTTTGTAAATCGGACATTCTACTCCATAAATACAAGTACAATTTAAATTGGTTCTATACAGTCCCTTCAACTCTTTAACTCTAGGAAGAGACCTTTAAAATAAAGTTAGATGAAAAAGGGGAATTCTTTATTAATCTTTAAAGAATATTTTCTAGGAAACCAGTTTCAACTCCCAATGAAGTTGATGATCTTGTTTTTGATGGAAAAAAGAAAGGTTGGATAATATCATTTTATATCATTTTATCATTATCATTTATCATTTATATCATTTTCCGTCTTCATTTAGACTTAATCACTCAACTACTTTGTGGAACATAAAAAACACACCCGTTAATTCTTTTTGAGTGCAACATACATCGAACGCAGAAAGCAAAATTCTTTTCACCTAACTGCTTTAGCGGCAAATTACTTAAACTTGCAGCGTGGCTGCTTTTTTAATACAACATAATATTAGTGTTGATACCGTCTGGCTAAATTGTCTAGTTTTTCTTGAGGTTGCACGTTATTGTCCTGGCTGATCATTTTATTGTCCCGACTGGACATTTTATTGTCCGGATGACCACTCTTTTTGGTCCTGACTGTTCTTTAAGCAACAATAAGCTTTCAATCCAGAAAAACGGCGATATTTTCTACATTATTCATCATCATTCATCATTCATCAGTCTCAATATAAAAAATCTCTTTTCAATCCTTGACCAGGTTAAGTAAATATTTATGCTTATGAAACTCATATTTTTACAAATTAAATTTGTATACAATAAAAATAAATTTTCTAAATAATTACTAAATATTGTAACATTTGTATCTAAAAAAATATGCATTAAAGCAATAAAATTGAAACATATATTAATGCAAAAAATTGATTGAAAACATAAATCTTTTTTGTACTACATGTCAAATTTTTATCTAACAAAATGTGTTGCCAAATTCAACTTTGTAACCTTATTCGTCAAATTTTTTTTAGACGAAATTTATCATTCATCAACATTTGACGAATGAAAATTGAAAATTGAATTGGGCTCCGTTGATCCAAAAAATTTTGTTAGATGAAATTTATTATTTATCAACATTTGACTAATGAGGCTACAAAATTGAATTGGGCTCCGGTTATCCAACACATTTTGTTAGATGAAAAATTCACATTTCAGAGAGTGTATTTAATAGGTTTCCAGTCGTCTATAAATTCTCATCCTTTGTGGGTAACCCTGTATATAAAACCAAATGTTCATACTTTAAACGTATTTGTGTATCATGATGTATTTATCTATATAGGTGGATTTTTCATCGAAGCTGGAGCTAATAATTTCGAGTCGGATTCAGATTCTCTTCACTTCGAATTAAACCATGGTTGGACGGTAAGTATTATATATTATAACATATAGTGGTAGACGAATTTTTTATTACAGTTTTGATTGTTCTCAAGCTTTATTCGAATTTTAAAACCTAAGCAGTAATAAAAAAGATAAATTTTTAAGTGACAGCTTCTCTTGACTTCTATATGTTTATGTGTATTCATGCTGAATAACAGTTTGTTAAAATCAAAATTGAAATCAAAAGTCGTCTTCATTGCCCTGATATAACGCCTACCACTGTGTTTACATTTAGTCATGTACTCAAGATATGAGTGTTCAGTTTAAATTTGTTAAATTTTTTTGGAAAAAGCTGAAGCTCCAATAATATTTGATTTTGTAATATTTGCCTGCAGTAATGTAAATTTCTAGCAATTATATTTAGAGAATTATTATTTCCAGCAGAATCTATAGCAGAGAAAGTTTTCCATGATATACTTCATAAAAGTGCCTCACGGAGCTACATGTAATATTTCAAAGATCTACAGGGTTACCCACAAAATATGAGACTTCAGACACGACGGAAATTTAGTCTTTCTTACATTAGGGTGTCCCTGCAGATGTATACACTTGATTCTTTCTTAAAATATATTTTTTAATTAAAAAAATTCGATTTTTTAGCCTATGTCACCCCCAGGCTACCCATTAGTGTCCACAAAAAATGTCAGCCCATTCGGTCCTAACTCCAACCGGTTGAGCGGGTTGACCGGCTATAGGGAATATATATACGAATGTCATGTTTTTTATATAAATTCCATAAAACAACAAAAATCCCAAAAAAATCTTTAGCTCGTCATTTTTTAAGAGTGATTAAGGACGTTCTTAAAACCTCATTCTATTAGTTTTTGATTGTTTTTTATTTAAGGGTCTATTGGTGGAACCACATCCCTCTTATTATGAAAAAGGAATGAGCAAGAATAGAAGAGTGACAAGGGAAATTTATCCAAACTAAAAAATAAGAAACAAGAAAATTCAAGTCTCTGCGATTTTTTTAATTAACAGAATCCATTAAATTGTTCGACTCAATTGTTCATTATTATTTAATTGTTAAAATTGTATTCAAATACATGAGTTGAATACATGTTTTAAGTTCAAACAGATCTGATATTTAATTTTTTCTATCTGAAAATTGAAAATCCGAAATTGCGGTAAAATTGAAAACGTATTATTTGTCAAAGTTTGATAAGATTGTGATTAGTGTAAACACCTGCCTCTCCCCAATAGACCGAGTTGCCTCAATTCCTTTCAAGTAGGATTTAAACTAAAACGTTTGAAATTGAAGACGACATTTGAACTATACTTCCTCTTTTCTACATAACCATGTCAAAACACTTCTGTAATGTTTTTTATCCATTAATTAGATTTAAAACCCTTTAAAAAAGCTAATATCTTTTTTAAAAAGTCTATCAACAGCAGTGATAACCAGACAACCCTGAAAAAGGAAGACGACTTTATCTCAGTACTGAAGTGTACAGGGTGTCCCAATAAACATGGGAATTCAGTGATGAATTCGATATCGTCTTTTTAGATAATTCTTTGATTTAGTATAGTGATACCTACTGAGAAAGCTGTAATCTGTAAGAGTTTCGTCTGCTATGTTCACATTTTGTTTGTTTTTGTTTTGAATGCATATACGGTTGTTCTCAGGGAACAGGAATAGGGAAAGGAAATGGCGCTGGTCCGGCAAGAGAAAGCCAGTCGCACTGATTTGCAGACCAGTACAGTAAACTTACAAACACTCTTCTGGTACAGACACGCAACATGACTACGTCAAGGAAATTGTAGAACAATGTCGTCGATTATAATTAAACTTGAATAACGAGTAGTTTATTGTAAACTGTAATCAAATTATGAAAATTTGGCTTTACAGTGTTGACTTAAATATGTAAATAATATATTACATGTATATTAAACTTATTTCTAAGTAAACAATTAACAATAAACAAATGTACTCTCCTAGACTGTACAAATGCCGAGATTCTTACGTACTGTATAAACCTACAGTACACACCTTCGGTACTTTAAACTGACACACACTTAATGCAATAAATACAGGAGGCAATTTAATACTCCTTAGCATATTTATTGTATCCTTGTTGCCGCCTCAAGTGAATAAAGAGATATGTAATTTTTTCAAACTTTTAAACAAATTATTTGAAGATTTGTCCACTATTCAAAATATAACATTTTAATTTAAAAATAAATCTACGTTTTTCAGGTTTTAAAAACTGTAAAATCTATATTTTTGAGTTTTGAGTTCAGACATCAATTCAAATCTAATTCATGTTTTCAGAGTTGTAAACCCGCAACTTCTTGGCAGAAAAAATCGCAATTAATTAGATTGCATCCCAAGGGTTGCAATCTAACATTGCAACCCTTGTTTCAGGGTATCAATGTAAATATCAGGGATTCGATAGTGTCATCATTTTGTTCAAAAGTTGGGAAAATTCCTTTTGTGTTTAGCATCAACTATGCTGGATTAGATTTGATGGGAAATAAACTGGGAGACAACTCAAGGCAAGGTTTTTTACATATTTTTCTTTCTTTTTAAGTGATCAATAGCTTTCTTGGTAAAACCCTTAGTTACTTTTACAGGCTTGTTCACTAAACATGAGACTTCAGAGACGACTAGAAAGAAATAGTTAAGTCTGTTTTTACATTTATGCAGTTTCTTGTAGATATAGATATACCTTATTCTTTCATTGGCAAACCATTTAATGAAAAGAACTTGACAATTTGTAAATTGAGGATCACTTAAAATATTTAGCGCCCTGTACAGGATGGGGGTCCAAATCTAAGTAAAATTCTAAAATAAGGCCTTAAAAGAGTAAAGATTTGGAATTGCATTACATATTTAAAGCCCAATTTTTAAAAAAAGTTGCCATTAAATTTAATGGCAAAAAAAGGTTTAAAATGCAATAAAAAATCGAAATAGCGACAGGCCTTTCGACAGTCCTGTACGATTTACGTTTACCCTTCCCTATGCCTAATTTTTTTGGTCAAAAATCCTTTAATTTTCCTGCTTCTTAAAATTTAAGAAATTTCAAGTAACAATGAAAATGTATATTCATTTGATATATGAAAACAAAATTTATAGTTAATTTTCATAAATTTCAGATAATTCTTTATCAGAATTTCGTCCTCCCCCCCCCCGTACATTAAGAAAAAAAACGGTTTTAGATTCTAAAAAACTACTTTATAGTATAGTACTTTGGGCAGCCATAATAATTAACAAAATTATCAGTAAAAAAATTATTCTTATAACATTTTCAAATTTTCTGTATTTACTGGTTCCTTCCACCCGTGTCGATTTCGGTTCAGCCGAAAAATTCTTCCTGGATTTTCTAAAACTTTTGTCCGTAAACAAAATGCTACCCATAAGAGAATAAAGGTGTTCTATTTGAGGTCTATATAGGTCAACACTCGACAATCAGTGTGTTTAAACCTTTATGCTCTAGTGAACCTATTCTACAGTGTATTCCATTATATTCACTTCTACTCGCACTTGGGAATCCTACTGTTAACTATTTTAGGTTAGTGCCATTTTAAATAGATTTCAGAACAAAGTGTTGCAAACATTCATGAATGCTTGTTGGCGTAATTTTTCGGAAATTATGTCTAAAAAATGCAGGATGGTTGTGCATTTTTGTTTGCTACAACTTTTAATAGGCAATAAGTAACTTGGTTCGGTTTTAGAATACTTATTAGGTTTTTGAATATTTATCTTTAGAAAAAAACTCAAAGTGAAAAAAAATTTAGAATATAAATTTTGAAATTTGTAGAACTTCTGAGATTTTGATAAAACTTTTTCAAAAGTTCAAAAAGTTCAAAAAATCAAGTTTTGCTTCAAAGCGGTGAAACAACTTTTTTTAGTTTAGATATAGAGGGAGGAGAGTTTCAGGTTCTAAAAACTATACCTTGGGACTTGGTGGATATTCAAGTTTTAAGCATAGAAACTCATTTTGCAGGTCAGTAATGGTACTGCTAGCGTATTTTCAAGTGACCCTTCATGCAAAGGTGACAATGTCCGATTTGCTTTTGAAATTTAAATGACAAAAGATGTAAAAGATACTGGATAACTTCTTCTTTTCTGACTCGAAATTGTTCTGATAATTTGTCCGTTGTTTCTTAAATGCAAGAAATGCGCTAGTTACTTTTGCAGAGAAACCAAAACTGAAAATTTGTACAGTATGTACAGTACAGTTAAAACTAAAATGGATATCTATCTATTTCATGCTTGATCAGACAAAGCTGTTAAGAGTACCGTTGTAAAGCTTTGCTAATGGATGGTCACTTGAAATTACGCGTATATAGACCCTTTAAACAAAAATAGTTTTAATGGTGTTGGGACTCTTGCTCTTCGAGGAAAATATTATTATTAGTATTTCAACATATTCCATTTCGAACCAAGTTTAACCCCCCCAAAAAGTTATATTTATTATTATTTTGATATTTGATATCTAGGAGAACGTAGTAAGGGCTCAAGAGAGGATATAATCTCGTACATGAAGGATGTTGGATATCAATATATATCCTGGGGCCACGAGGTTAGGAATTAGGATTCAAAACACCGGGGATTGGATGTCGTCTTCTTTATTTCTTTCTGTTAAGATTTCGCAGAGTTTGTGTTTGTTTTCGATGTTTGTCTCGGAACTTCATGTTTGGAGTATTGTTTATCTTGAAGGCTTGATCTCGATATCCAATGTGGGTACTTTTAAAGTTGAAGATAAATGCTTGATTCCATAATAAATGTTATCGCTGCAGGGTATAATAATTACGAAATCTTTACGATAGTTATCGCTTCACAGACAAGACAATACCTCTATTAAACTTAAAATTTCTTTTTTTTCATTTTTTTCCAAGGGCAACGCCGGGCGCTTGAGCTAATCTCTATAATAAACAAGACTATACCTCTTTTAAACAGGACAATATCTTTATTAAACGGGACAATATCTCTATTAAACAGGACAATATCTCTATTAAACTGGACAATATCTCTATTAAACAGGACAATATCTCTATTAAACAGGACAATATCTCTATTAAACAGGGCAATATCTCTGATAAACAAGACAATATCTCTTTTAAACAGGACAATATCTCTATTAAACAGGAGAACATTTCTATTAAACAGGACAACATCTCTTCTAAACAGGGCAATATATCTAATAAACATAACAATATCTCTATTTGAACTGGACAATGTCTCTATTAAACAGGAGAACATCTCTATTAAACAGGACGATATCTCTGATAAACAAGACTATATCTCTTTTAAACAGGACAGTATCTCTTTTAAACAGGACAATATCTCCATTAAACAGGACAACATTTCTATTAAACAGGACAATAGCTCTATTAAACAGCGCAACATCTCTATTAAACAGGACAATATCTCTGATAAAGAAGACAATATCTCTTTTAAACAGGACAGTATCTTTTTTAAACAGGACAATATCTCTATTAAAAGGGACAATATCTCTAATAAACAGGGCAATATTTCTATTAAACCGGGCAATATCTCTATTAAACAGGACAATATCTCTATTAAACAGGCCAATATATTTATATTAAACAGGCCAATATATTTATATTAAACAGGACAATATCTCTACTCAAACAGGACAGGTTTTTCTTAGACAGGACAATATCTGTTTTAAACAGGACAATATCTGTTTTAAGCAGGAAAATGTCTTTACTCTAATAGGATAATTTCGCTTCAAACAGGAAAATTTCGGTTTAAACAGGACAATTTTGCTTATCAAACAGAACATGAGTTTCTTTCAAACAGGACGAGATCGCTTTTTAAACCGGAAAAGATTTATTCTCAAACAGGACAAGATTTATTCTCAAACAGGACAAGATTTATTCTCAAAGAGGAAAAGATTAATTTTCAAACGGGACAAGATTAAATTTCAAACTGGACAAGATTTAATTTTAAACAGGACAAGATCTACTCAAATGTACGTTTACTCAAAATGAACAATTAAAGCATACTGTAAATATTAATTTTAGATTTACGGATATGTCACGTTTCTTGAAAGTGGGAAAACTATAGCCATCATAAACGACATGTTTGTAAAGAATGGAATCCCTGTCAAAAAAGAAAAAAAGAAAAATTTATTGTGATTTGTGACTTTTTTATTTCAAAATTGTGTTGTCTATATTCATTTTCTGGAAATTAAAAACAATTTGAAGTGTTCTGTGCTGTAATTTAATTTATTGATGGAAATAAAATACTAATATAAAAAATTCGTCTGTGAAATAAGAATTATAGTGGTATGTCCTATTCACAAAGGTACCCAATTAAGAGCATTGTCTGCATATGAATGAATGATTTTTTTTTTAAATTGGTTATTTTCAATATTTTCAATTGTTAAACAATTTCATTTTTGAAGACGATCCTTTCTGAAGCCTTAGAAAGCTGGTAAGGCACAGTGGACCGCGTAATATTTTCAAGACAGATAAATGTAGGATACACGTTCGTGCCCCCCCCCCTTCCCCCGTCTACTGGAGAGGGGGCTTCAGTTGGCTGTTGGAGTAGAACTGCCGTGCTATAAAAGGTCGCCCAACTCCTTCATGAACCAGCCACAGATCCCAGCCCTTTCACCGGATGCTGCTAATGTTGAAGCCAACAAATGTCAGAGTTCAAGCCATAAGTAACTAGTAACCCGCCTAGATAGAGGTGAAACTGCTGACAAGATGCCGAGATCCTGCGTGTAGTTCTTCATGAAGTTCCAGCTGTTTCCTATTAGTTTCTTAATCAATAATCATAATTTCTGTCTAACCATTCACTCCATAGAAAACTATTTATAAACTTTATTTACTTTCTTTGTTTTATTTCAATAAAGTTCCGAATAGCTCGTTATTGTCCATTATTTATTTGACTATTGGTCAACAATGATTCGTTGTTAAAGTTGTAAATATATATTACGTAATATACATATGCATAAATTATTTAATTAAAAATTTATAAATTCATAAACGAGAAAAAATCTAGAATAATTAAACGACTTTTATACTCAAGCCGTGACTTCAAATATTAAAATGAACATATGTGATACTGCAGTTTTTCAGTGTGAACATTTTAGTTAATAAGTGATTTTAAAAGAGTTACTGGTGGTAAAACTAGTAAAAACATCAAGCAGTATTGTTATAATGTCGGCATCCTATTCAACATCTCAAAATTGAAGAAAACAATTTAAAGTGTGTTCTGTTCTATACAAACAATTAAATGTAGCGTGAAATATGAATCTCCGTCATGAATAAACGAGATTATATGTAGCATGAAATATGAATCTCCATCATAAATAAACGTGATTGATTATATGTAGCCTGAAATGTGAATCTCCATCATAAATAAACGAGATTATATGTGGCATGAAATATGAATCTCCATCATAAATAAACGTGATTAAATGTGGCATAAAATATGAATCTCCATTATAAATAAACGTGATTATATGTGGCATGAAATATGAATCTCCATTATAAATAAACGAGATTATATGTGGCATGAAATATGAATTCCATTATAAATAAACGAGATTATATGTAGCATGAAATATGAATCTCCATTATAAATAAACGTGATTAAATGTAGCATGAAATATGAATCTCCATTATAAATAAACATGATTAAATGTAGCNCAAGTAGATGAACAGATTTGATGTTAGTTCCACATTTATTGAAAATATATTTCGGTCTTGGTTAACCCTCGTCAGTTGTATTTCAAATGAAATAATAACCTCCGTTGAGAAGAAATCTTGCATGAAATACGAATCTCCATGATGAATAAGCGAGAACAAAGTCGCATGAAATATGAATCTCTATGCCAAATAAGCATGAAATATGAATCTCAATGACAAACAATCAGACAAATTAGCTCAACAGTTGTTACGTCAGGAAGAAAGCTATTGAAGAAAGCGACCTCTTTACAAACTATGATTTTACTTCCAACCCAGCTTATTATAGTTTCCCACTTTTAATCTAACTTTTAGTTTTTATCTGAAATTCAAATAAAATGCTTTAAATTAAGAACATCAGTATTAAAAAAAAACAATATTCATTTGAATAGCTTTATTTTTCTGTCTGATACATCTATCTATCTCTTAATCCGCTGAATCTATCTATCCTTCCAGCGTATCTATCTATCTATCCTTCCAAAGTATCTATCTATCTATCCTTCCAAAGTATCTATCTATCTATCCTTCCAAAGTATCTATCTATCTATCCCTCCAAAGTATCTATCTATCCCGCATCCTGAGACCAACGGAGGTTGAAGAGGCCGGGGGCTGGAGGATCAATATACAGTTGCCCAACCCTAGGACTTTGAACAAGTGAATTTTATATTTCTCAAGAAACTCCTCAATTTCGACCAGTTTAAGGTAAAATCCGCCAAAATTTAATATTGTAGGAAAAACTGTGTTTCGCCTGAAAAAAAATATATGCATACTGTACATTATCTGTACAAATCTATTGAACTGTATTGTACACTGTACAGTGGGTAACCATGCATGGTTGTACACAACTTTAATACTAAAAACGTATGCAAATAAGTTCTTTTAGATATCCCTAAAACTAAAGAAACTAAAACCGAATTTAAAGAAAGTGCAGTGTAATTTCCAATTGTAGATATGCATACTTAATAAATAAAACTAGTTCAAGAATTATATGTTGATAGGCAAATAAACAAAAAAACACATTAAAAAAAGATCAAAACAAAAACTAGCAATGAATTATTTATTTAATTTGTTCAAATTAACAAAAAGACAAATCTATACGTGGTATGTATAATGTACCCTAAGACAGCAATTAAATGTGTTTTACGAAACGATGTCTTCATATGCAGTGCACTCTATGGAAGCAATGTAGGACCAAATTAATGAATTTGTTTGCTGAACTATACCTACCGATTCAAAGTAAAGATTCATGAGGATTTAAACCGTTGGTAGGTAGTTAAGCAACCTCTCCATGGTTCATTAAATTCGGTCCATGGGTAGTTGTGTTCCGAGGTTTAAATATAATTTCGAATATTTTAAAAGAAATTAAACATCTCAATTTACAGAGATAGACTAATTTTTCATTATTTTTAAAGTGTGCACCTTGCAGTGGAGTGCAGTGCAACGCACATTTTCCTTCCAAATAAGTTCAAACAAAATTAGAACTAATGTCATGTAAACTAGATTAGGTATATTTACAAATCTAAATAGAGCCAAAACTGTTCATTCAATATCTATTAAGATAAACGTTTACTTTATGTATCAGATGTAAGCGCACCGACAATTTGTTTTCCCACTCTTTCCAATTTTCTTATTTTTCCACTTGGAATTTTACTTAGTGAATTTAGTCATTTTAAAGTCAAAACCATTAAACCCTAAAGGTGTTACCTAATTTTAAAAATAAAAATAAACTCTTTATTTAGAGTAATTGTGGCGCCACAATTTTTTTTTTAATTTAATTCATGAAAAGGCTAGTATGGGGGTTGCTCTCTCTTCTTGTGCCTTTAATTTGTCCAGGGAGAGGGATGTTCCTCTTACCCCCCCCCCCTCTAGCCGCCTTCGTAATGAAACAAATTCTTGCGTTTTACCCCAATTGGGGTTCTACTAATAATACCATATAGAAAGTATATGAAATCATTATTTGATAATAGATAATGTATTAAGTCAGAGTTAAAATAGAAATATAGCAAAAAGGCAAAAGGACAAAGTGTCTAAAAAATATAAAAAATAAGTCAACGACCTCGAATAAGTTGAAAAATATATAGTTTCTAATTATTTTAAATATTTTTATAACATAGAAGTATGTTTTGTTTGTCCGTATCTTTTGGCATTCTAAAATGTCATAAAACTTTAAAAATGAATAAAAATCAACATCCACTATTATTACCTTTTTTAAAAAATGGCCGAATAACGTCCAAATCAAAAAAAAAATTTTCGCGAATTGTATTTTTTTTCGGGAAAAAAGAATCAGTCATTAATCATTAATTTTACCCGATTAATCAATTCTTTTTTGTATTTTCCAAACCTCCCCCTTTTTTATAGGGTTTAGTGGCACCGTGAAGATTGTGTATACAAAAGGTGGACGATTGAGTATATAAAGAAGATCAGATAAGCTTAGGTTATACACCTTAAAGTTTAACAGTAAACATGACTCATACCCCCCCTCCTCCTCTTATATGTCGTGTTTATCTAGTATTAGAATATTAAAAACATATTTTACAAAAACTCGCCACAGCCAATATTTCAACTTGGTAGATACCAATCTTTCAATAAACATAAAACCAGGCAACTTTTTGTCTAGAACTATTGTTTTCATATCCAAACAAACCACTGGCAGGCTTCTTGCTTCAACTATCTTAGTACTGTCCTTCTAGTGATGCTATGGAAACTGACCATAGAGGAACCCGACCTAATGGTTATCGGAACTTATTAGCAACTAACCAGTAACGAGTAGTTTTTCAGAAAATATCGAGTAGTTGTAAAGCTCTGCGCATTTTTACGGAGTTAAATCCTCTACTTAACTAACTACTTTCAACTCCACCAAACCAGCCTATTCTACGTTCTACTACAGTGAGAACCATGAAAATGTGGAATAGGAAGACGACTGTAAGACTCAAGTTATAAGTTTTAATAGTCCGAACACCGAAGAACATGATGCACCTAGTCTACAGTTTTCTGGTTCTCACAGTACAATTTTAGTTTAGTAAAAGTGAGTTTCTTCTAGAGGTAAAATCAGGCTTCTAAATTAACCGTCAACTAAGTTAATTAAGAGTTTAATATTACCTTTATATCATTAATCACCTCTCTTCGTATCTTATTTAAGATCCCCAACCCCTGACCCCCTTATTTTCCCCCTCATTAACCGGTCCATCCTGTAGAAGCATCACATATTCCCCATAAATACCCCCCCCTTGGGCCCCTTTCTAATTTAGTGATAGCTCATAGTGCAACAGAAATAGGAATATATTTGGGGATATTTTGAAAAATCAAAATATACTTTCAGGGACTGTAAGCGTAATTACAAGTGAGCCTCAAACCTACATTCAAAGATGAAATGCCCGATTTACAACGTACCTTAGAATTTTTATTTTGAATTTTTAATAGATATAAATGATAATATTATTAAATATAATCAGTATAGTCCGTATTACGTCACCAAAACTTCAGCCAATGGCAGTATGAAATTCACGTATTTGTCTGTGTTTCCTGCAGGTAATATGTTTCCTGTCTATAAAATTACATATTTGTATATATATCCTGCAGGTAATACGTTTCCTGTCTATAAATTCACGTATTTGTCTATGTTTCCCGCAGGTAATATGTGTCCTGTCTATAAATTCACATATTTGTCTAAGTTTCATAAAGGTATGTGTCCTGTCTATAAATTCACGTATTTGTCTAAGTTTCATAAAGGTATGTGTCCTGTCTATAAATTCACATATTTTTCTGTGTTTCCCGCAGATATTAGGTGTCCTGTCTTTGAATTCACGTATTTGTCTGTGTTTCCTACAGGTGTGTGTCCTGTCTATAAATTTATGTATTTCTCTGTGTTTTCCGCCAGTATGTGTTCTGTCTATAAATTGATGTATTTGTCTATATTTCCAGCA